GTGGACGGGGTGGCAGTGGGTAGATCGAGGTCCTGGGTTTGAATCCACCATCTGCCCTGCGTGGTGTTTGCGTGTCGTCCTCGTGTGTGCATCAGAGCCAAACAGGTTAACTGGTGATGTGAGAACCTGATGTGACAGAAAAGGGTGGATGGATGTTGTTTATTGTGATATAAACTCTCTGTGAGGAGGACTGTCGCTGGGACATGGCAGATTACAGCTTGGTGAAGCAGTCTCACCCTCGGGCCTCTGAGCAGTGTTTACACCCCCGGCCCCGTGCGGTGTATCAGGCCATCGTGTTTACTCTCTGAATGCTTGAAGGAAACTCAGACTGGCCAATCTTCACGCTAACACAGCGTGCTGTGCAATATGCGTGCACGTATGCTGTGTGGGAAGCCTATGTGAAAATCACGCATCGGGTTCAGCAGCTGCTCAGTGAGTGCCGATGACTTCACGTGATGACTGTGGCCAAGCTGCAGGAGACGCCGCTCGCTGACGTCTGTGTGAAATGAACGCCTCGGTGTTGGTCCAACATCAGAGTCACCGTTTGATCTGTTTTTCTAATCCTCCTCGACTCGCCCGCACGCTGCACAACACGTGACTTAATGCCTCGCAAATGTCAGAGTGAGTCCTGAGAGTCCACGTGTGTTTCAGGAAATGTTTTTTCCAGCTGCCGCCTCGGATATTACCGCCTAATCAGGATGAAGGCCGAGGCCGGGTCAGTGGAAGAGTCTTCAGAGCAAACAGACGCTCGAGGTGACTCGATATAAACATGATGTCATGTATGAAATGTTTAAGGAGTTCTGAGAATCAGCTCATATAAATAAACCGTACCTGATTCAAATATGGCCGTCCTCCTTTTAGAGATCATCTTCTCAGGTGTGTACGGACAGCTTCTGCTCTTTTCAGATCTCTCTTCTTCTCCGTTGTGTCCTGGATCTGCTCAGGCGTGAACAAAGCTGCAGTAGATCTGGTGAATAAGACTGGCACGACGTGGCTTTTTGCACCGCCTGCCTCAGAAGCCTTAAACTCTACATGTTAACATGATGAGAGGACCAGACAGACTGCTGTCGCTCTCATCTGAGAGCCACAGAAAAAGCTCCCACACATCTGTGCCGTGAGATTTGTTGGACTCTCGTTGCTTCTGTTAGATCTGACGGACGTTTTGCATTTTTTCAGACTGGCTGCAGGGTGCTGACAGGAAAACCTGCTACTGTGTGTGGGAATGTTTCCTTTTGTGTGTGGGATTGTTGTTTATAATATCCTTCTGAGTTTTTATGGAAGAACTGAACAAACAGCCCGGCACTGTGAAAACGAGCAGCTTATCCAATGAGCTCTCTGACTTTCCTCTGCAGGGAGGGAGAGATTATATTTCCATGTAAACTAGAGGGTGGGACATTTAGTGAATACATGACATTTTGTTTCAGTGAATATGACCTTTACTCTGTTTTTTATTGCTTTTACTGTAACTGGAGCATCAATAACAACAGTATACGTAACAGCTGCCTGTTAAACGTCTTCCTCTCGCAGAGAGAAACCAGAGTCCTGCGTTTCAGCCTGTAGGAACACACGGACACGGACTGGAACCAGTTGGTGTTCTTCTTTATTTTGGTCAGGGATGAGAAAGGAGAGATGCAAGCAGCTGAGCAGGGAATCAAACACACGGCTTCCTCACACAGACCTCAGGTCAGTTTAGAAGAACCACGAGCGATGTAACGGCAGCAGTGGAAGCTGTTTGGACGCGATGCAGAGGAGATGTGTTCGAGTCAAAGCAGCTGACTTTATGGGCAGACTCCTGTTGGCTCACACCTGACAGCGTCCAGTTTGAACTCTCAGACAGTGATGGTGATCATGCAGACATGCATCTTCTCTCAGCGTGTTCATGTCCTGCGTGCGATCACGCCGTGCTGAAACGACGCTTTAGTGCAAATTAGCCGTCGGCTGCTTCAGAGGTGCTCGTCTGACGGTTGAGCAGTTCTGCCCAGAACTTGTGCGCCTGCTCAAACTCAAACGGGACGATCTAAAAATGGTTTTGGAACAACTCTGAACTCTGTTTGCTGACAGAAACCTCAAAACGTGGAGCATGCAAGTTGCAACTGCCGTAATTCCCCCTCTCATTAATTTCAATGTGTTTAATAATTGAGTGGAAAGAATTGGAGGAAAAGCAGAGAGAGACCTGCTGAGACCCGGTGCTGCCGCCGTGGTCGCTGCAGCTCACTGAGGAGCTTGTGCTGCAGAGAGCCGGGATGCCAGCTGTGGAACTACTGCAAATGAATTTGCATGTCAATGCTCCCATCCTGCAGACTTTGGTCCAGCCGGCCTCGCTGCAGCTGTAACAAACGTTCAGTCACCGCATGGTTAGAGAAAGTGACGGCAGCTCCAAAGACCGAGTTGGAAACATTGCGAGCTGTGATATCTGTCACACAGGACGGGGGTGGGGATTTGTCAGTGCTACGCTGGATCAGCGGGAGGCCAATCTCACTAATCGTTCGTTTGATCATCAGAGGATCAGGAGAAAAGCACCCAGTGCTCCAAAGAATCCTTCACGAGCTTTTAAAGGTCGTCTGTGTCCTTTCAAGTGTCGACAGTCTGACTCTGTCAGGTGATGAACTCCACGACATTTTAGCAAAGAGCCGTTAAACAAGCCGTGTAATCATCCTGTTTGACAGGTTTCTGTATCAGGGACATCGCAGCACCACGAGCCGCTTCGCAGCATCCTCCATTTTTGATTTGGGGCGTGAAGCGAGCAGCAGCATCCTGACAGCATCAACTACAGTATCATCTAACGTCTGCTGGAAATCGAGGGCGGGCTTCCTGTCCTCATGGAGCGTCTGAATCTGCTGGTGTCTCCCCGAACTAAGGGCAGAGGTGCGGCGTCGTGGTCAGGTGACAGAGGCGCCAGGCTCACAGTGACGGAGCCAGTTTAAAGGACGACGGCCGGGCTCAGTGTTGAGATGAAGCACGTCATCAGAGGTCAGGAAACACTTGAAGACGTACTGCGTGTGCACAACAACAAAGTGAAGGATTCGTCGCAGCAGCGTGTGCAGCCTGCTGGCTGGACGGTAACCTCCGTGTGGATCTGTGATATTTTGCTCAGCTAAAAGTTATCAAGGCTGACGAGCGTCTTTTCCTGACCGGCTGAACTTCACACGGATCGCATGACATTTAGTGTAGATTGAAATGCGGCTGCATGCGGTTGTTTTTCATTAGTTGAATATTTTCTCCGTGTTGAGCATAAAGAAATTTCTTCCACAGGACCTGTTTTGTTTTTTGCAGAC